GAAAATGTTTCACAGCCAGAACAATTTATGGGGAATTTGAGTGCAATATTTGATAATCTTACCGCTCAAGCTACTACCATCAATCTCAATCTGAAATATGCTGACAATTCTGATGTAATTAACTCGTTTGATGGCAAATTGCATGCATTAGTGCAGTGTCTACCTGATTTGTCAGCTGTAAATTGTGTCACTTGCCTGAAAACTGCTTTTTCTGGAATCCGTAACCTCTCTCTGTCTATTGCCAAGGTACCACGTGGAGTCAGAATACTACTTCCTAGCTGCAATTTAAGGTATGAGCTATATCCATTCCTCTATGCCAGTGTACCGCCATCGACCAGACAGGGGAATGAAGACGAAGGTATGAGTTCATTACATAAAAAGCCAAATTTCCCAGGAAATCTATTTGAAGGCACCTTTTCTCACTATTTTTCACATTAAAAGCTTTTAATCATAATCATATACTACATGGTGTCATGGTCAATATCGAATGTCGTTTAAATTTTGATGCACACCCTCAAAGAAAATCATTTACTAATAGGAGTTATGGCTGAATGATCATTGTGCATGTATCAAATATCATTTCTCCAACTTGTAGAGAAGATAGTCACGCACACTTAAACACTTCACGAAGTAACGGTCTAATTCAGCTTTTAATTGACCAACTATTTTTTTTTGCAGGCAAAAATACTTCAAAGACAAAGCTTATAAGTATCATTATAGGTGTTATACTAGCAATTTTAGCTGTTGTACTGGCAGGTACTTGCTTTTAGCCTTTTACCTTGTAAAAAGAAGAAGACGAATAGAGAAGGGTAATTTTTCTTTTGGTATTATGCATTGAAAAGAAAATAATTGTAGTTTCAGCTAACCAATCAAAAGTTGGATCTTTACAGGGAGGAATGAAAAGAGTCGAGAAATTCAATTGCTTGACATGATAGGAGAAACGCTTGATGCGAATGATGATTTTGGCTCAGAAAAGCAGGGGAGATCCAGAGAATTTCCAGTAGTAAAACTAGACCTCATTCGAGCTGCTACACAAAAATTTTCTGAAGAAAACAAGCTTGGAGAAGGTGGATTTGGTCCAGTGTACAAGGTAACGATTCCTATCATTTGTCATAACCAATTACCTAGGAAGTCCTTAAATCTTAGTCTAGAGACTAGTGAATCTAAGTTGCTAGAGGGGGTCAATTTTTCATGATTTTTGGGTTATTTAGTGTTGTGTATAACATTCCAGGGTACTCTAGCCAATGGCATAGCAATTGCAATCAAGAGGCTGTCTAGAACGTCCGGTCAGGGACTGAAAGAGTTCAAGAATGAAGTTGTCTTAATTGCCAGATTACAACACAGAAATCTCGTGAGGCTCTTGGGTTGCTGTTTAGAGGGAAATGAGGCACTGCTTATCTATGAGTTCATGCCCAACAAAAGCCTGGACTTGTTCCTTTTTGGTTTGACGTTTACTTATTTGGCATATTAGTATATACCACAAAGAAGCAATTAATTCACTAACTTCAAACTTTCTTTTTCTAGATTCAAGAGAAAATGAAATTCTGGAATGGAGACAACGTGTCCACATTATTAAAGGAATAGCAAAGGGTATTTTGTATCTACACGAGGATTCTCGACTAAGAATCATTCATAGGGACCTAAAAGCTAGCAATATTTTACTGGACAAAGATATGAACCCCAAGATATCTGACTTTGGAATGGCAAAGATGTTTAGCGGAAATCAACGAGAAGCCAATACAAATAGAGTTGTTGGAACCTAGTAAGATGATGCAACAATGCAAAAATCTGTTGGTACTATTTAAAACAACATTATAGTGTAAGATTGATGCTAAGGACCATTTTTTACTTCTTCCATTTTTACAGTGGATATATGGCCCCTGAGTATGCTATGGAGGGACTTTTTTCTACTAAATCAGATGTTTTCAGCTTTGGTGTTCTGTTGCTTGAGATAGTAAGTGGAAGGAAGAACAATAGCTATGTTTCCGAATATGGTCAGAGTCTCCTTAATTTTGTAAGCGTATTTCTTCTCCATTTTTGTTTTTGGTTATGTCAATTTCAACTTGCATGAAGCATCCTAAAACTATCTTGAAAATTCAGGCGTGGAAGTTGTGGTGTGAAGAGCATGGATTAGAGCTAATGGACCCTTACTTATCACAGTCTTGTGTGACAACTGAGATAACAAAATGCATCCATATCGGACTACTCTGCGTTCAACAAGATCCAGCAGATAGACCTACCATGTCCTCTGTGGTTTTTATGCTGGAAAACGACACTAAAACATTTCCACAACCATCACAACCTGCATTTTCTATTGGGAGACTTGCCGTGAGATCAGCTGAGCCTCGATCTAATGATCAGTTATGTTCCGTTAACGAGGTCACTTTATCAATTCTATCACCCCTATGACCATTAATATAGGATCCATCAAGGATCTGTCTCCTCTCCATTTTCCCCAAGTTTCTACTTCAATTGGTGACACATGACATATGTTGAATTAATGACTACGATTTAATTGACCAAAACAAATCCCTAACCATGGTTTAGATAATAAATATATTATATCAATTTAGTCTCAAAAATTGATATAATCCCACAATCTTAGCAATATATTATCTTGCTCATAAATATAGTTTTAAAAAAAAAACAATCTTCCTACGCAAGGTCTATACCCTTATTCTGCTACTTTGTGCTCATGGTTCATTTGAGTTCTTATTATGCCTACTTTATTTTCCATACCCATGTTAGTGAATAATTAAGGGTTATATCAATAACAATACTGTTAACGATCAATAATCCATAACCAATTAATCGTATTTTAGCAATTTTATTGCAGTTTAGCATGTTTATACCCTCAAAACCAAATCGACGGATAACGAACACTACTTGGAAGTACTTAATGGAACACCTAGTATCATTTGGGAATTTTCACAAACACATAGTATACAATTTTTCACAATGTCAAACAAAAAGATAACAAGTATTTCATCTCTATCTAATCGAAAATAGATGAAAAAGAACCTGGCGATGATAGTTAGTTCAAATCCAGCAAAAAAAACTCCGTGTCTGGTTGTCTTTGTTTTTTTCCTTCTTCTTGTGATCTTTTTGTTGATTCTCAGAAAATCAATGTTCATGGTAAAAATATGGAGGGGTTCATTGCAATTTTTGGGACAAAGCTCCTACTTGCTGTGATTTTCCCTATAAGTTTTCTTATTATTATTTTTCTTCTTTTTAATTAGAAAATTTCTTGAATTTTATGAAATCATTTACGAATAATTCTGGACACTACTGGATGTTTGGTTAGACTGCAGAATATTAATAAATAAGAGATTCAAGAACATGTTTGGATTGACTTAAAATTGATCAAACAATTTTTTTATATCATTTTGAGCTTTTGAAAGAGTTGACAAAGTTAAAAGTAACTTCAAATAAATTAAAAGAGAAAAGACATAAAGTTATCTCTAATTTTAAAAAGATATCTTAACTTTGTAGATGTCCTATTACACCATTAAACAATTTAAGAGTGTTATAAATATCTCACTTTTTACCCAACCTCAATTGCAAGAAAAGAAGTGTAATCACGCATCAATTGTTTGTTTGCCACGTACTAGTTTTTTAAAATTCTTATTTTTTAGTTTCATTTTCATTTTCAATTTTTCTTCTTCAACGTTCATTCCTCTACACACCCCAAATGAAGAGAGGAAGCGTGAAAATTTTAAATCCTCTTTCATGAACCTAAAGTAGCAACTTAAAAATCTCCATTTTTCTTTTTTGATTTTAATCCTCTTTCTTCTTCAACCTTCATTCCTCTAAAGTAGCAGCCATTGCCGCCTTCGACGTACTCCATGATTCTTCGCTGTTATAGCACTATTTTCACCATTAAATCATCACTAAAGCAAGGTAATGGAATTATATATTCAATCCAAAAATATAAAAAAAAATGGAGTTTCATAATACTCTCTAATCAATCGAATAATGGAGTTCACATTTATTTTATTTTTATAAAAAAAGAGGATAAACGAAGTTAAAGAAACAAAGAAAAGCAAGAGATAAGAAAAAAAAGTGATAAAAATGGATGAAGTAAATGGATCTTCTAAGTTGAAGAAGATAAATAAAAGGTTATTGGGTTGTTGAATTTGAGTGAAGAAGTTAATAGAAAAGAATGAATTGAGAAAGTTAAAATTAAAAAAATAGAAGTAACTAAAAGAAATTAATATTTCTAATTAAATAAATGTTAAAATAAATATTTATTTATTTTTTGGCTTGACTCACGCCCCAAATGGAGATTCAACCATACTCTCCTGCCACCTAGGCTCATAATGGGATAATAAATTCATTATAAATAAGAATAATTGGGTAATAGGACCCCGCAAAGTTTAAGTGTCTTTTTGAAAATTCGAAACAACTTCAATGATAACTTTATGTCTTTTCTCAAATTAAAAATAACTTTACAAAAAATGAAAAATCAAAAGTAAATCTCTTTCTTACTTTTTATTTTTTGAGTTAAAAATCATTAACGAACTCTAAAAATAGTAAAAGAGCTACCGACAAAAGTAGATAAAGAGAAAAGATGAATCATCATTAGGATATGAACAAGGCAACAAAGAGGTAACCCGTACCCACGTAAAAAAAAATTAAATATTATTCTATTTCTTAATTGCAACCGTACCCACATTAAAGGTAAAAAATATTTTATATAAAAGCATATATTTGAGGAAGAAATAAAGTACAAATTCTACAAGTAATTGATTTACATTTAACGTACTTAAAATTACTTCTTCCCCAATGCTGTTACTTTCAGTCTAGACTTGTTAGACCAATTATTCCTTGTAATTAATTTGTCATTGTCAAAGTCAATGACTATTGGTAGGAAGGAGTGAAGGAAACTGTTATGGGAAAATTATTTTCATGAAAAGTCAAACTTGTAGTTTCGAGCAGATTCATCTTCTCCTCCTATTACTTTAGAGTTTAGACATAATTCAACAGCAAGTTACTTTAGTCAAGAATGGCGTCGGTTTTGGTTTTGTGTTTGTGCAGTACCCAAACATTAATTCTGATTTTGTTGCTCCATTCACTACTGCTTGTGGGTGTCAAAGCACAGATGCAGGTGAATCCCTTATACTACGATTGTTCAATGCCCAATAATTATTCAGAAAGAAGCAAATTCCAATCAAATCTTAACCGATTGCTGTACAGATCACTGTACAATAATGGTAGCGATTTCATCTATACAAAAGCCAGTGAAGGAGAAGACCCTGACAAAGTTTATGGACTATTCCTCTGTAGAGGAGACGTTGTACCTAAAGACTGCAAAAACTGCATAGACGTGGCAAGAGAGCGGATTCAACGTGAATGTCCACTCAAGAAACAGGCAATTATATGGTTTGATGAGTGTTTGGTCCGTTATTCTAATGTATCTTTTGCGTCCATGTTAGACACCTCGGTTTCTAGGATCCTGTATAACACACAAAATGTTTCACGGCCAGAACAATTTATGGGGAATTTGAGTGCAATGTTTGATAATGTTATCACTCAAGCTATTACCGTCAATCTCAATCTGAAATATGCTGACAATTCTGATGAAATTAACGATTTTCAAAGATTGTATGGCATGGTGCAGTGTCTACCGGATTTGTCAGCTGTAGATTGTGTCACTTGCCTGAAAACTGCTTTTTCTCAAATGAGTATAACACTCTTTGACACCAAAATACCAACAAGAGGCAGAGTTCTTCATGCAAGCTGCAATTTAAGGTACGAGCTATATCAACTCCTCACCAGTTTACCGCCATTGACCATCCAGGGAAACGAAGACCAAGGTATGGGATCTTCTATAAGTTAATTACATGCTTTAGCCAAATTTCCCAGAAATCTATATGGAGGTACTGTTTCTCACATTAAACTAATCACTTCAAATGTATATTAAAAGCTTTTTAATTATAATCATATACTACATGGTCCATATCAAATGTTTGTCGTTTAAGTTTTTGGCGCACACCCTCAAAGAAAATCATCTACTAATAGAGTTATGGCTGAATGATTAGTGTGCATGTATCAAATATAATTTCTCCAACTTGTAGATAAGATAGTCATGCATACTTTCACACATCACGAAGTAAAAGTTGAATTCAGCTTTTAATTGATCAACTACTTTTTTTCAGGCAAAAATACTTCAAAGACGAAGCTTATTAGTATCATTATAGGTGTTACACTAGCAATTTTAGCTGTTGTACTGGCAGGAACTTGCTTTTACCTTCTAAAAAGAAGAAGACGAATAGAGAAAGGTAAATTTTCCTTTGGCATTTTGGATTGAAAAGAAAATAGTTATAGTTTCAGCTAACCAATCAAAAGTTGAATCTTTACAGAGAGGAATGAAAAGAGTCAAGAACTTCAATTGCTTGACATAATAGGAGAATCACTTGATGAGAATGATGATTTTGGCTCGGAAAAGAAGGGGAGATCCAGAGAGTTTCCAGTTGTAAAACTAGACCTCATTCGAGCGGCTACACAAAATTTTTCTGCAGAAAACAAGCTTGGAGAAGGTGGATTTGGTCCTGTGTACAAGGTAATAATTCCTATCATTTATCATGACCTAGGTAGTCCTTAAGTCTTAGTCTAGTGAATCTAGTTGCTAGAGGGGGTCAGTTTTTCCGTGAAATTTTGGGTTATTTAATGTTGTGTATAACATTCCAGGGTACACTACCATATGGCATAACAATTGCAATCAAAAGGCTGTCCAGAACGTCCGGTCAGGGACTGAAAGAGTTCAAGAATGAAGTTGTCTTAATTGCCAGATTACAACACAGAAATCTCGTGAGGCTCTTGGGTTGCTGTTTAGAGGGAATCGAAGCACTGCTTATCTATGAGTTCATGCCCAACAAAAGCCTGGACTTGTTCCTTTTTGGTTTGACGTTTACTTATTTGGCATATTAGTATATACCACAAAGAAGCAATTAATTCACTAACTTCAAACTTTCTTTTTCTAGATTCAAGAGAAAATGAAATTCTGGAATGGAGACAACGTGTCCACATTATTAAAGGAATAGCAAAGGGTATTTTGTATCTACACGAGGATTCTCGACTAAGAATCATTCATAGGGACCTAAAAGCTAGCAATATTTTACTGGACAAAGATATGAACCCCAAGATATCTGACTTTGGAATGGCAAAGATGTTTAGCGGAAATCAACGAGAAGCCAATACAAATAGAGTTGTTGGAACCTAGTAAGCTGATGCAAAAATGCAAAAATCTGTTGGTACTATTTAAAACAACATTGTACTGTAAGATTGATGCTAAGAACCATTTTTTACTTTTGCCATTTTTACAGTGGATATATGGCTCCTGAGTATGCTATGGAGGGACTTTTTTCTACTAAATCAGATGTGTTCAGCTTCGGTGTTCTGTTGCTTGAGATAGTAAGTGGAAGGAAGAACAATAGCTATGTTTCCGAATATGGTCAGAGTCTCCTTAATTTTGTAAGTATACTTCTTCTCCATTTTTATTTTTGCTTATGTCAATCTCAACTTGCAAGAAGCATCCTAAACTATCTTGAAAATATAGGCGTGGAAATTGTGGCGTGAAGGGCATGGATTAGAGCTAATGGATCCTTGCTTATCGCAGTCTTGTGTGACAACTGAGATAACAGAATGCATCCATATCGGACTACTCTGCGTTCAACAAGATCCAGCAGATAGACCTACCATGTCCTCTGTAGTTTTTATGCTGGAAAATGACACTAAAACACTTCCACAGCCATCACAACCTGCATTTTCTATTGGGAGAAAAAAGCCTCAATCTAATGATCAGTTGTGTTCCGTTAACGAGGTCACTTTATCAATTCTATCACCCCGATGACCATTAATATAGGGTCGTCAAGGATCCAACTCCTCTCCATTTTCCCCAAGTTCCTCCTTCGAGTGGTGACACATGACATATGTTGAATTTAATGGTTACCATTTAATTGACCAAAGTAAATCCCTAACCATTGTTGAGATATCAAGTACTGCATATCAATTTAGTTCCAAACATTGTTATAATCCCACAATCTTAATTCTTCCTGTCCATAATTATAGTAAAAAAAATATACATCTTCCTACGCACGATCTATATCCTTATTCTGCTACCTTGTCGATAACTGGACCGTTAACTATCTTGATAACCAATTAATCGTATTTTAACAATTTTATAACAGTTTAGTATGTCTATACCCTCAAAACTGAAACCAATGATAAACATCCCTACTTGAAAGTCTTAATTATATGAAACACATAGTATCAATGTCAAGTCTTCCTATAACTCAAAAAGTTCATTTGGGAATTTTCACAAACACATAGTATACAACTTGTCAATTAGCATAATAATAAACACACAGATAACAAGTATTTGATCTAAATATATGAAAAAGAACCTGGCGATGATAGTTAGTTTAAATCCAGCCAAAAAGAAGCTCGGCGTCTTGTTGTCTTTGTTTTTCTCCTTCTTCTTGTGTTCTTTCTGTTGATTTTCAGAAAATCAATTTTTCTATAGTAAAAATATGAGGGGGTTATCACTTATCTCAGCATGTTTTTAAAACATAATTTTGGAAAATTATTCATTCTCCTCTTAAATTAAAGCTCCTACTTGCTATGATTTTCACTATAATATTATATTTTTCTTCTTTTTAATTAGAAAATTTCTTGAATTTTATGAAATCATTTATGAAAGATTCTGTGTACGAGGTCTGGTTAGAGTTCAGAATTTTAATAATAAGAGAATAAGAATTAGTAAAACAGATAATAAAAAAAGTAAATATGGGGAAAAGGTGAGTCCATGTTAGTTGTTATTAGGATATAGACAGAGCAACAAAGAGCTACCCACATATATATATAAAAAAAAACTAAAAATTATTTTATTTCTCAATTGCAACGGTACCCACATTAAATAAAAAACATATTTTATTTCTCTTCCAATCTAACAATATATAGGATTTTCTAAAAATATGACATATATAATACACATCTTTATAAAAAAATATAGGACTCGAAGCTATTGCTTTAGTGGCTTTGTAATAGAGTCGTGCCATGAAGGAAAACAGAAAACTGAGACATGTGTAAACTACAAATATACCTCTATGAATTTAGCAAGAAAAGAAATACTAAAAAGAATTTATAAAAGCATACATATACTATTATTACTACGTATATATTTAAGGAAGAAAAAAAGTACAAATTCTACAAGTTCTTGATTTCTCATGAGCTTTGAAGAAATTTATCACCTTGATCCCATACATTTAATGCGCTTATGGCTTTTTTCCCTAGTACTGTTATTTTCAATCTAGACTCGTGAGACCAATTATTATTTGGACTTGATTTGTCTTTTTTTTTTGTTTGTAGAAATAGGAATTTATATAAGCTTAATTATGTAGTTCGGAGACTCCGATGTTCGATACAGAATTAGAAATAAGGCTATTTTCCATAGTCGAATTAGAGTTGTATGTTTACTATTACAGTTCTATCAAAATAATTCCCAGTCTTGTCTGCTTCCCATGCTTGAAAGGCACATAGTGGTGGGGCTTCAAAAATCTGCACATTCCCATTACAAGTATACAATCTCCTCCCCACTTAGCTAGTATGTCCGCAACTATTTTCTGCTCCCTGAATGTGTGAGTTGGCTTTGAAATTTCTAGTTGTTGCATAAATGACCTGCATTCATAATGTTAGTGTAGTGTATGTGATCTTGTTATATCATGGAGATTGAATAAGTAGAATCTGTGTTGTTTAGGACTAGAGGTTTCAGATTTTTGGCCATGGCTAGGCTAAGGCCAAAGAGGATGACCAGGAGCTCCGCTCGTTGAGCATTGACATGCAGGCATTTTTTTCAGAAGCCTGTTATCCACTTGTTGTTGTGGTTGCGTATAACTCCCCCAATGCCTCCTTCACCTGGTTTGGTCCCCGCTGCACCATCAGTGTAAAGCTTGAATTGTCCTATTTCTGGAGGCTCCCATTTGATTTTTAATGTGGTCCTATGCTTTATGGTGTCCTCCGGTCCTCTATTCAGCAAGTGGTATTCAGTAGCAGTGGCTATGATATGGGAAGCATCGACATGGTGCTTATTTGCTTCATACTTTCTTTTTCTAGATTCAAGAGAAAATGAGATTCTCGATTGGAGACAACGTGTCCACATTATCAAAGGAATAGCAAAGGGCATTCTGTATCTACACGAGGATTCTCGACTAAGAATCATTCATAGGGACCTAAAATCTAGCAATGTTTTACTGGACAAAGATATGAACCCCAAGATATCAGACTTTGGAATGGCAAAGATGTTTAGCGGAAATCAACGAGAAGACAATACAAATAGAGTTGTTGGAACCTAGTAAGATTATGCAAAAAAGCAAAAATTTGTTGGTACTATTTAAAACAACATTGTATTGTAAGATTGATGCTAAGAACCATTTTTTACTTTTGCCATTTTTACAGTGGATATATGACTCCTGAGTATGCTATGGAGGGACTTTTTCGACTAAATCAGATGTTTTCAACTTTGGCGTTTTGTTGCTTGAGATAGTAAGTGGAAGGAAGAATAATAGCTATGTTTCCGAATATGGTCAGAGTCTCTTTAATTTTGGAAGTGTATTTCTTTTCCATTTTTTGTTTTTGGTTATGTCAATTTCAACTTGCATGAAGCATCCTAAAACTATCTTGAAAATTCAGGCGTGGAAATTGTGGCGTGAAGGGCGGGTTAATATCTCAGATGGTCACTCAACTATGGAGTATTTTACTTACAAAGTCACTCAACCTATTTAATTAATTTTTTTAATTAAAATTTACTTTAATGAAATTTTTATTCCTAAGCAAAAAAGTAAAATTAAAAAAAGTATCCATTTGTACTGCCAATTATACTATGCTTAAAAATATCCAATATCACTGTCAATATACTATACTTAATATTTTTTCCAAACTGGAACGATGTTCCTATAAACACATGTTAAACATAGTGTAGAAAATAATAATAAAACTCATGGAATTTAAAGGTTCTTAAAATAATTAATCCTAACTATTATATATGGGGGAAAAGGTAAAATAAAAGGATCATTATTATATTTTTAGTGGATCGAGTCAAATAGGTGGATCATTATTATATTTTTAGTGGATCGAGTCAAAATAATTAATCATTGGTTTTGTGTTTGTGCAGTACCCAAACATTAATTCTGATTTTGTTGCTCCATTCACTACTGCTTGTGGGTGTCAAAGCACAGATGTCGCCCTTATACCACTCTTGTTCAATGTCCAAAAATTATACAGAAAGAAGCAAATTCGAATCAAATCTTAGCCGATTGCTGTACAGATCACTATACAATAATGGTGGAAATTCCATCTATACAAAAGTAAGTGAAGGAGAAGACCCTGATAAAGTTCATGGAGTATTCCTCTGTAGAAGATACGTTGCACCTAAAGAAAGCCAAAAATGCATAGACGTGGCAAGTGAGAGGATCCTGCACGAATGTCCCCTCGATAAACAGGGCAACATATGGTATGATGACTGTTTGGTCCGCTATTCTAATATAC